ATCTCTTATGAAAGAAGAAAAAAACTATATTATCTTTTTACACACACACAAAAAAAAAAAAATAGTATATAATCATTGCAGTATAAAATTTCAATTTTAATAATAAATCATTTACTTTTTTTTTTTCTTCCTGTTATTTATTCTAAAAAGCAGAAAAAAAAAAACCAAGACTTTTTTTTTGTTGATACTGGTGAAAAGAATTGGTAAACTACTATTTTATCAAATATATAGTTGAATAAATAAACATACGTATATGTATTGATATTTAATTAGTTTTTTAAAACGCATTTTTCAGTTTTAATTAAACTTTACAGTTCCAAAACCTCTTCCCGTATTCATCTAACTCTTATCCTTTATTTAACTGACAAGTTGCCTAAAATTCAGATACCACAGTTACCTGTGTCACATCAAAAATTTGCATAATTTATAGCAAAAAAATGAAAAATAATTTCCTGACAAAAAAAAGAAGCATAAAAAATTTTTTTAGAATCTTCTAGTTTACCAAATATTTTTTTATTGCCAAAAACTTCAATTTGTATAATTTGATCCTAGAAATAATTGCAAATCTTTCCAACTTTAACACTTGACTAAAAGTAGAATCTTTAGCAATTGATAAACCTTGTATGTTTTACCACCTAAGACAAACTATATTCCAATTTTTTTCTAGTTGATAATCCATACACAGATAAAAAGTAAGTTACTTCTAGATTCTGTATCTTTCAGTTTCTACTTAGTTTTAGCTGGAAACCGGTAAAACACAAAAAAAAGTCTATTAAGTATTAAAAATCTTTGCAAAACAAAGATTGAAAAAGATAATGTGAACAACCGATACTGAAAGACATCCAAAAAGTTATTCCTTACAAATATAATAGAAAAAGATGTTTTATTGTTTAGCACTCGACCCGGTACTCCAGAAGCTGGTGAAATTTCAATAAATTCACGACCTTCAGAAATGATCGGCCAATCTTTCACCAATGCATTGTCACCAGCTATAGAACAACTAAAACAGATGCCAGATCCTACTAAATCAGCATCATTAGAACCACTGCCATCAATGGGTTCCTCTCCAGAAAATTTGCCAGGTGGTGCTTTAATTGGATTGGCTCGAGCATTTCTTGGCAGCGGAGATGCAGCTCATCAACCGCAACAGCCAACTGCATTTGGTGTCAAGCAGGTAGAATATGAGAAAGATCCAATTCCGACTCTAAAAGACATTGCACCAGTTGCACGAAACAACTTTGGGATGCCAATGGGAAAAGTTAAGCCTCTTATCGTTTTTTATTCATCAAGAAACTTACATAAGACAAAACTTATCTTTAAAAACGCTTTATTTTTTTTATATTCTTATTCTTATTTACCATAGAATTCTGTGGTTAATTTTAAGAAGAAAACATCTTTTTTATGACGACGATGACAAATATGTTATTAAGGTTAAATCTACTTTCAGGGTGTTTGCCGTTCTTAGACGCATTCATGAGGGCTGCCTATGGAAACTGTGCTAAAGTAGCTGATCAGAAAACTTGGGATACGTGGGGAGGACAGATCAGCAATGTTCTGCTAGGCGGAAAAGTCGATTTTCTACAAGCAGCGTATGTCAATTGTCCTTTTTAATGCTTATTTAGTTTGCAATTTTATGCTTTACTAGATCAAAAGATAAGAAGGTGTAATTTCTTATACTTTACTAGACTCAAAAATAAAACACAAATTCTAGTCATTTAAATCAGAATGCTCACTTTCATAAGAAATTTTTTTTCGCAATTAACCGACACTTTTTAGCACATTATATAAACCTCTACTTTTTTGATTATTGATCATCTAAATCTGCAGATATCATATAAAACTGGAGCAGTTAAGAAATTTACAACAATCACTTGTCATCTAGTTCTTTCAAAAACCATAGACGTAAAAAAAAACTACTGAGTAAATACTAAAAATAAATGTTTCTTTATTTTTCAGATAAACGGTTTGCACAGAAAATACGTAGTTTAATTGATTTAGTTTAATTGAATTCCCAAAATAGTTTACTAATAATTCTCCTTTCATGTCCATCAGAAAATGTCATACAGTGCCATATTAAACTCTAATTTTTTATTTATCAAGATAAATTTCAAAAATTTTGTTGTATACATCTCTTTTTTCAGCATTTTTTTCAAAAAAACAGTTACTGCAAAAAAATTTGCTAAATATTTTTTTTGCTAAAAAGATAATTCATATTTAATTGTCAACAAGATACGCTTCAATCATCTTTTAAGTCAAAAACAAATAGACAAAAAAGCTTTTCATCTATTATCTTTCAAAGTTTATAGAATCAAATTTGAATACGATTTTGTCTCTTGATTTTTTTGTTTTAGTTTGAGATTTTTCTTTTAATTTGTTTGAGATGAACCAAAACGGAACATTATTTAAACTACAAAGGTTATCTAAAAGCTTAATGTATCTCGTTTGGTACTGCTAGTCAATGTCTGATACACTGAATCAAAATTATGCTACTTGGCACAAAAGTGTGGCTGTGAATACATATTTACAAGTTATAAAGTTAGTCTATCAGTTGACTTTCCTTACTTTCCTAAATTTTCATAGGACTTGTTAAAGTGTTTAGCTATTGTTCAATTTATCGAATTTATCAAGTAATAAGTGTCTGTGATTAAGAGTCACTGGAAAATTCTTTTCGCAATAGCGACTGCCGAAAACATTGACAACTGGAATAAGATAAATGTAAAGCGGTATTTCTTTTAACGCTTTTGTGATCTCTACAAATATTTAGAACAATCTAAGTTAAACATCGAAATATAAAGCTAAATTTTTTAAAAAAGAATTCGATAATAATGAACTACAAAGATAAGCATAATGCAGGGTAATCATTATTTCAAAGTCTGCTAATTTCATATATCAAAAGCATTCCAGACGCGAGACTTGCAAACGAGGAGCTGAGAGAACACAGTGTGGTCAGTTAAGAAAGGCGATAAGTGAATGTGATATAATGGGATCTGTGCAAATTGCCCTCGAGCTGCAAAGAGCTATGCAAAGATGTGAAGAGGTTTCTGGTATCATAGATCAGGTAATTTTTACTGCAGTGATTATTGTTCTAAAGATGAAACATTTCTGAATACAATATATTTACAGAATCCGATGCAAGTACTTGACCAAGTAAACGGAGTTATTGGCAGTGAAGTTGCACAAGGATTTTTGCATAAATTTTTGGGCTAACTTACCATGATCTCAACTGGACGTTCTTTCTTGTACAGTTTCAGTTTATAGGCAGTCTTTTAAATGATGAAGACCCTGCTGGCAGGGAAAAAAATCAAAGATATTTGTTTTTTGTTCTTTCCTTTTTTATTTATTTATTTATTTTTTTTTTTGTTTTTTTAATGACTGCAAAAAAGAAAATTTTACCGGTTATTACCCCAAAACCGTTGTACTTTTTTTTTTTTAATGACTTTACTAGTTCATAATGTCTCCTCATCATATGTCCTTCTAACATACTGCTACATGAACTTTTTATTTGAACCACCAAAAAAAAGTGTTACAAACTTTACGGTCCATTGAAGAACTGCTGTATGCCTTTCAATTCTGTAAAAAAAACTGCTAATAATAATTGAATGTATTGTAAGTTTTGAAGTGATGATCATTGTTACCAAATTCAATCAGATAATGCTAATGCTTCTGTATATTCTCAAATTAATTTTTGCTACAGTTCTTTCAAAAACATTCTTTTTTAACCATCTTGAGATTTATATTATAAGGTTATCTCACTGGAACTGGTGCATTCCGTTCCATAAATTTGTTTAATATTGTACTGTAAAATTACTTTTCTCTTTTAACTTATTGTCATTAACATACTGAATATGGCAATGTCAAATTTGTAAACTGTTATTTAGTGCTACCAGAAAGCACCAAACAAGTAGTTTGTTGAAGTGTTTTATATTTTTATGAATGTACATTGTAATTATATATCAGTGTTAAAAAGTTGAAATCTGAAAAGAATAAAATATATTTTACAAATGCAAGAAAGAAATTCCTTCTGAAATAAGAAGGTTAAACTTAAGATTGTCTCCTCACATCTGCTCATAGAAAAAACCTTTCTTTGCTTCTTCAATATTTACTCCATGTCGTCATTATTTGCGCGTTCTACCGATCCTTCCGCCTTTAAGTTTTCCGTTTAAAAAGAAAAATAGTAAAAAACTGAGTAAGGTTGCATAACTAAAAACTTTATGGTTGCTTCCGCGTCATTTCTAATTCTCTTTTTTTTTTACAGTGAGGCCTTTCCACTAGATGCAAGAAAATTTCACACCTCCACGTGTTTTCACAGTCTTCCTAGACATGATAGTCCAGTTCAACAGTACCTTATTAGTCTTGAAAGAGATGTTGTTTCGCACTCAGAGTCAATTCTAATTCTTCTTGCCAATAACTGTATAGATCCTGTGAGTTTTCAGTCATATAAGTCATTCAACACAGCTGTATGATTATTTTCTAAACGTTATTTAGTTGGAAGTTTCTAATGTTCAGTTAATCCAGAGATTTCTGGTTGAGTGCATGCCTGGTTCAGCGTTTGCAGTACATTTGCTATGCCGAAAATTGTATGCTCCTCTCCGGTAGGACAGGTAACAAAACCATACAAAAACCATAACTTCCAGCTGAAATATTCAATTATCACGAAGTATATTAAAGTAGCTCATCTAACGTATGACACCGACAAACCGTTACTGTCTACCTTAAACCGAAACTGATCTACTTTGAGAAGAAAAAACTGCCAGACTTTAGAAATCTAAAAGGTGCTGAAAAGAACAACAATCAACTCAGAGTTTCGCCACTTGTAAATTTATTCAAGAGGTATCCAAAATTACAAGAGGTAACTAATTCCAAAAATATCACGAAAGAATTTATAACTGTTGACGTTCAGATTAAAATCCTTTTTGTATGTCCAGTTTAAATCCAGTAGTTACAGTTGAAATTCATTTCAACAATAAACTATTACAATAACTGCAATCTAACGGTATAAGTCAGCGACTATTAACATTTAGAAAGAGTGATGAATAAGTGTTAAATAAACACTATGTGCTACATGAAAACAAGCTTTCAACTCGTTTGTAGTAGAAGAAACCATGAAAAAAGATTGGATACGACAAAATAATAATTTTTTCGACCATGTGGTCTGTAAATTTTTTGCGTGCTTACACACCAAATTTCATAGTAATCTTTGGGTTATTTTTCAATGAAGTGCATCTGAAGGAACCACACACTAACCGTCTGAAACAGATTATCAATAAAAAAAATTCACTGTTTGACAAAGCTGCTTTTTCCAACGCTTAGAGTGACCGTAAAGCAATAATAAAAAAAAAAAGGACGTTTCATCCAGCTTCTAATTTATTGGACGAATTCAAACAAGATTTTTTTTTTCCACTCTCGGACTTTTAAATATATTAGAAAAACGAAGCAGTTAAACCAATAATAATTGTTTAAGAGACTCAAAAAACCTGTAAGAACTTTTTCAATTAATAATGATAGGTAGTCCTCTAACAGTAACTTTTTACTACTTTAATATGTTTTCATAATGCAATTCGTATATTTGATAAAAAACGTGGTCCTAAACTAGCGATAGAACAAAAAGCAACAACAGGAGAGCATTGGTTATCTTTACTTTTTACTTTTCTCCTTACAGAGCTTATAGACTAAAGTTTCCTCTTCTTTGACATATTTGTACACTAAATTGGTTTCATTTTATGAAAAAGGAGCAGTTAAACCGTAAGCAGTAGCTCACCATAGTAAGCTATTGATTTTGACAAAAAAATGATCTGCCACTATTATCTCTTTTACTTTCTGGATACCGAAACCTACTAAACGCTTCTTTAATAGAGATGCTTCAGTGGATGCTGTCAGTATCTGTAAGAGTAATTTTTTACCACAGCTATATTAACCGAAACCTTAGTGAAAAGGACGGAGGAAGCAGCCGGATAAATTGGCAAAATTCTACGGAAGAGTAAGCTTAATTGACATCAAGAATTTATCACCAGGTTCAAATTCTAATATAGAAATAAATTAACCTGACAAAACTTGCTGTTGAAAGTACAGTAGACGTAACTCTCTTTTGTCAAAATTTGTTGAGATATAACTGAGTGTATAAAGTGAAAGAATGAAGTGTAGCAAAAATTTTTCACATTGTCCACGTAGTATTGACTGATTTCTCTCTTTTTTTTTCTGCTTCAAATAATTTTGGGTAGTTTGTTTATTCTAAAATTAATAAGCTGATTTAAGTAGTTAAATGTTATTTGTACAAATAACGGAGATTTACACATTGACAAACTGGTTTTTGACAATTGAAACTTAAAGCAAAATAAAGTACAAACAAAGATAAAACTCTGCCGACGGTATACCTTCAAGGTTAAGACTGTTAAATAGTCTAAAGATTCAGTTCGGCTTTATAGTCATTTAACTGTGTGTCAATCTTAAAGTGTTAATAGACACTAAAAAAATCAATTTGCTGCAGCAATTTCTGTAAAAAAAAAAAAAAA